TGACAGGTGGGTGGCCGGGGCGCAGTCGGAGAGGGCGTGCAGGAAGGCCGGCAGCTCGGGGAAGGACTGCTCGAAGAGATCCGACTCCAGCACCTGCTTGCCCGTCGACTCCAGCAAAGCCGGGAGCACGATCGTGCCGAGTGTCTGCAGCACACACCCAACACCCATGTGTGTGTGTGTGTGTGTGTGTGTGCGTGGGCGTGCTGTGCCCGCCCTCCCCCTCCCCCCCACACCCGGAGCAGCTTTCGGTTGAAGTCCATGAGCTTCGGATCGAGCCCGAGGTCGCTGTCGGTGGAAGAGTCGTCCTGTGCGCTCTGCAGGGCGTTGGCGAGGGCCTCGTTGATGTTTTTGAGTGCGGTGAGGTCGAGGAATGAGAGGAAGAAGGGGTCGCTCCCGACCCTTTGGCAGAGGGCGGAGACGGCCTTGACGAGGGAGGGGCCGTTGGTGTAGTAGCGGGCGATGTAGAAGGAGAGCGACTCGAACACCTCCAGCAGACCCAGGCGCAGGACGTGCTGCATCTCGCCACTGACATAGAGAGAGAGGGGGGAGAGAGAGAGGGAGAGACACACAGGCACACAGACGGATGGGTGCCTGTAGGAGTGTATGCTTCACAAGGACCGTTCGCCCTTGAATGAGCCGAGGAGCTTCTCGTAGAACTCGGTGCCAGCCTTGCGGAAATTGTGCCTCGCACCCGCGCCACTCGTGCCACTGCCGCAATCAAAACACACACACACACACACACAGAGAGAGAGAGAGAGAGAGACATACACACAAGCACACCCCACAGCTGCCCTCCACATCTCACTGACCCGCACACGGCCTCTGCAGCGGACACAGGTAGAGTCTCCAGCAGATACTGGCTTCTGAAGCTGTGTCTGCGGTGGTGGTCCCGCTGCACGCTCCAGATGTCGGCCACCTTCTGGTGGAACAACTCGCACTCACGGAAGAAGGTGGGGAAGATGTCGCTGTACAGCCACACCGGCAGACGACACTCGGAGGCATCCCACTCCACACACGCCTCACCCGACCATATGTGCTGAACACACCAGACAGCAGACCACAGACAGGCACACACAGGTGCGTGTGTTGGTTGCCCCGCGCTCCGTTGCTCTCTCACTTGCAGGTCGGTGAACTGGATGGCGGGCAGCTCGTTGAACTGCAGCTTGAGCCTCTCGCCGTTGTCGATGATGTCCTCCTCTCGCCAGCTCTCCACCACCTCGTTCCAAATGAACGCGAATCTCCTCAGCTGGTGCTCCACAACCTCTGCAGGGATCTTGCAGGTGCTCTGCGGGCCACCCAGCAGCTCGCGAGACCACCACCCAGGAGGATGCTGCGGCATGGCGCGTCGCTGCTTCGCCGCGGCCGTCACTGTGGTGGGTGTGGGGGAAGCTGCGGCGTTGCCCTCAGTGGCGGGCTCGCCCTCCTCGAGCATGCGCGGGCTGACCCCCGGCTTCATCTGCCCCGTGTGAGAGCTCGGTGGGCTCCGCTCCCGCCCCTGCATGACCCGCTCGGTGGGGGTGACGGAGGTCGTGATGGAGCCGCATGTGTCTGGCGCGTTGACGATAGAGGCCGCCTTGAAGTGGCCGGGTTTGAGTGTGGGTTTGGCGTAGAGGGGGCGGGAGTGCTTGAGGAAGTAGGAGGCCGGCTTGGTCTGGGAGCGGTCTCGGCGGGAGCAGAACCCACAGGTCATGTAGCCGAGGATGGACCACTGCTTGCCACGCTGAGAGAGAGAGAGAGAGAGAGAGAGAGAGAAGGGCCAGGTCTGTGAGTCTAGTGGGGCTGTGGTGGGGAGGGGAGGGGTGGGGCTGTGTGGCTGACCTTGTTGATGAATCCTCCGGCGTCTTGTGAGAGGGTTCGGTCGAACTGGAGCGGCAGCAGCCAGAAGACCTTCCTCGCCTGGTCAAGCTCCGTCACGTACCCAATCTGACCACACACACGAACGGCACGAAAGGCGAGAAGTGGGGGTTGATGTTTGTGTGTGTGTGTGTGTGTCTCACCCCTCTGAAGAAGCCCACTCCCCAGCTCCACACAGCGAGGTAGATGGCGTAGAAGAACTGACCATACATCACACAAACACAAGTCAAGTGGGGGTATCGGTATCGGTGGCGGTGGCTGGCTACCATGATATCGAAGAAAAACACAATCAGGCCGGGGAACCCCAGCGTGATCAGTGCGCTCCAGCTGGTCGTGTCCTCTATCTCGTAACCCAACGTGTGGTACCTGCACACACGAAACACGCCACACACAGTCGGTACGTCGACAATGGTCCAGGGTGTGTGTAGGTGTGTCAGTGGGGTGGTGTGCAGGGGGCTGGCTGACGTGATGGTGGAGTCGGGGTGGCCAATGAACTCGATGAGGTCGACGAAGCCGTAGCAGTACACGATGAACGACACACCCACCTTGATCGCCACAATGGGCAGCCAAAAGGCCGCGTACGATATCTGCACAGCAGCCACCACCACCGCCACCACACAGACACCCACATGTGTGTATGTGTGTGCCTCGCCCGGTTACTGCCCCTTCCGCCCACCGACGCACCAGGTGCCTGTACTCCTGCACCAGCAAGAATGGGTTGCCGACGAAGCTGCCGACGTTCTGCCAAGACGGCCCTCTGCGGCAGCACCCTCCAGCCAGGTGCCGGATGGGCCGCAGCAGCAGCAGCCGCAGACCCTGCAAGCCCCACCACAGCAGGAACAACCCTCCCACACACCCTGCCAACACAGCACAGCACAACCACGCACGAGACACTCTCTGCACGCGACGAGAGGCAGCCTCTCCCTCTCTCCCTCCCGCACCGTCGCATTTGAGTGCGGGAGCAGTGGCCCCCCCGGTGACATACGCTCGTACAGCAGCGGCGAAGAACCCGACCTTGATGCCGCTGAGCAGCTGCTGGCTTATCCAGTACCAGTGCGTCGTCTGCCTGCAGAGCTCCCGGAGGCGGCTGAGCATCGGCGTGGGGCTGAGCCAGGTGAAGAGGATGTCCAGGAACACGGCGAAGGCGCCTGCACCGGTGGCTATCATGATGCCCATGCCCCAGTAGACGTCGGAACGAGCTGAGGAGACTTGAGACTCGGCTGAAGGGGAAAAGGCGACCATTTGTATGGTGTGGTGTGTTGTCTGGTGAGTCTCTGCCGTACGTCTCATGATTGTGTTGAGCCAGAGGAGCAGCACCAGCACCAGCACGTGCCACTCGTACACACGCCACCAGGTCCGGAAGAACTGCACACACACACATCCATCCATCCCTCTGTGTGTGTGTGTGTGTCTGGTGCGCATAGATATCTATCGTACGTTGAGGTAGTGTCTGTGTTCGACGAAGGTCTTCTTGCCGTGGTTGGCCTCGCCGCTCATGAATGAGGGGTTGCAGGTCCACTGCTGGATGTACCCGAACAGATTGCCATCCCACACGTGCGTCTTGAAGAAGTGGGCGTGCAGCCTGTCCCCCTGCCAAAAGAGCTCGTTGAAGTCGTCATAGTTGAGCTTCACGGGATGGTCGCCGAAGGGGCGGCTGAACGAATGGCCACACACACACAGACACGGACACAGACACAGACACATGCCACGCCTATGTGTCTGTGCCTGTCTGTGTGTGTGCTGACTTCATCTCGTCCCAAAAGAGGGAAATGACGGGTGTGATGGTCTCGAGGTACGAGGGCAGGTTGGCGGTGTCGACTCGGCCCCATGAGGTGACGAACCAGTGGAAGAGGCAGCAGATCATCTCGGGGCAGTGCCGGAGGTTGGCCGACTCGCCCCAGATGAGCTTCCACAGAGCCACCTCGCGCGCCATCTGCAGAGGCCGCGAGGTCGGCTCCACCGACGCTATCACGTCCCAGCCGAAAGGCTTCACCTGACAGCCGATAGAACACACAGAGGTTGGGGGCGGTCGGTCATGGTGGGGTGTGGGTATGGGTATGGGCACGATTGGCCCACCTTGATGAACCTTGCCCATCTCCTGTAGTTCTTGAAGAGCCGTCTGTGGTATCTGTAGAGGCAGTGCTCCTCGAGCGACTTGAAGCCCGACTTGCTGACCACCTGCGATACGTCGCCCCCCGTCCCCGCCCCCTCGTCGCGCAGGATCATCCCCAGCAGCGTGTGGCAGACGTCTTCATACTGATTGAACAGCGAATCCTCCTGTCATACAATCGATGACACGCAGGGAGAGAGAGAGGGGGGGACAGCCGGGATGACGGATGGGGTGAGGCTCCCTCACTGTCTGTGTGTGTGTGTGTGTGTCGATTGTCTGTCCCATGCCCTCACACCTGAAACTTGAATCTCTCGAGGCATTCGTCCCAGGCCGTCCGCCCCCCCGAGCTGCCCGCGCCCTGCACGACGAACAGCTGCATCACCCGCTGCAGCTTCCGCTCCATCTCGACCAGCTGCTGCCGCGAGAAGGACTTCTCCTGCCCCAGGTACTCGATGCCCGTGAAGCGCCCCGAGAGCATGTCAAACAGGTTGGCCTTGACGGTCTCGCTGCGGGGCCACTTGACGACCGACATGGCCGACGCCACCACTACAGACGACGCGTCAGCAGAACCAGAAGACTGCCGCCTGGGACCACCCGACATGGTGAGCGGCCGGGTGGCCGGGTGGCGCGCGTGGTGTCCGTTCGGGCCTTCCCCCTCGTGTGTGTGGTCGGTCGGGCGAAACCAGTTTTCGGCTTCCTGTGCTCGTGGTCACCAGGCCGCCTTAAGCTGCTGCTCCATCTGCTGTGCTGCCTTCACTGCGTGGCGCTTGGCGGCCGCTCTCCGTGCTGTGTCCGTGCGTCTTGTCTTCTGCTTGCCGTCCTCTTCGCCTCCGTCGTGTCAAAATAGCAGGCGCCGCCGTTGGACGTTGAAGATGACCCCTTCCGCGAGGGAGAGCGGTCTGTCAACACAGGCACAGAGAGGCCATAGCGCCGAGCGGGGCCCTTCTGCAATGGAGATCCTCACAACTTTAACAGGCTAAGCTCGCAGCTTTCTAACGGCCGATCTACTGGAAGACGCGTCTCAGGAAAGGATCACCCCTGGAGAGGACTGATATCTCCCTCCGAGAGAAAGAAACAGGACAACGGTGACTTCGCGCAGTGAAGGACGACACTGGAGTGATGTGACCAGCTCTACGGCGGGCGCTGTGTGTCTGTGGCAGCGGAGGGCCTCTGCGCCAATTCATCTTTGCTACCAGTCCAGCAAGCAATGAGGCTGCCTTGGCTAGTTGCAGCAACCGGGTGCTGTTTGGCAGGGTGCCTCAGCGCCGCTGCACACCCCTCGACGTCACACGATGCTGCCGACTATGGCCTGCTGCGGGTGGCGGGGCCAGGACCTGATAGCGTATTGGAGGAGGAGGAGTCGCTGCCCTCTTTCGACGTCAGCAGGGGTGAGCCTCAGGGTGAGAGTGTGGATGCCTATGTGAAGCTCGACAGCGTCGCGGCAGTGAAGGAGGACGCCTGTGCTGCAGAGCCGTCCGCACCTGCCGTAAGAGAAGACAGATGCCCACACCCACACACCCTGCAAACACGTGGTTTCCTGACTGTCTTGTCTTGTGTCTGTTGTACTGGTCAATCACAAAATGGCAGGTGATTCAGAGGCCTTTGGCATCGGCGCAGCGGATGGGCGAGAGTGTGGCACGGCGCATTGGCAAGAACCGGGGGGAGGAGTTCTCTCTACTGATCGACACACAAGTGCTGGACCTGCACACCAAGACCTTCGCTGACGTCGGAGTGGACAGGGAGGAGTGGGAGAGGGTGACGACGGATGCGGTGGAGGCTGTGCGGAAGTATCTATGGACGCTCATGCCCTTCGCCTCGCCGATAGTCGTGGCGGCCTTTTTGTTGCTGTGCATATGGCCCATCATGGGGCTGCTGCTCTGCTGCCCAACGTTGCGAAGGTGAGCCAACTGAGTACACTCCTCGCCCGGCCGGTGAGCGCACTGCACGTGTCTGTCTTTCCCTCCTCTCTCTCTCTGTGTGTGTGTCAGGCTTGGCGAGAAGCAGCGGGCGCGGGTGATCTATGTGCAGCCGGCTCGGCATCCGACACGCAGGACGCCTTACAGGGATATCAGTGGGGTTCATATCGAAACCAGGGCCACCCAGTCCACAGAGGACTCCCCTGACAACACCCACAGCGACGGCGAGAGCACCCCACCGTCACCAGACGACGACCGGGGGCACCATCACCATGACGGCCATCGGGATGAGGCCTACTATCCGAGACCACCGCGGCTGTTGATGGGCAAGACGCTCCGGCGGATTCTGTTCTCTGTGTTTGTGTTGATACTGTTGGCGTCGATTGGGGTGGCTTTCGCGAGCATCGCGTGGTCGCTGGCACTGCATGACGGGGTGAAGGAGACATTCTGCGCGCTGGCGAGTGTGGCGGACGAGGGCCTCAATGGGTCGCCCCCCGACACCCCCCAGCCCTTCATGGGCGTCCTGCCTGCCGTGCAGATGTTGGATGGTTTAAAGACAGACCTGGACCCCTCATCGCCAGGAGGCGTGATCGACAGCGTAGAGGCCTCGCTGGATAAGACGCTGGACTTCCAGGCCAACCAGGACGAGCTCATCGGCCGCCTCGGCTTCATGATTGGAGTTTTGGAGGACGAGAAGAACGACCCCATGAAGGAGTCGGATGTCGACCGGCGGACCTACCACGCTTGCCTCTACTGTGAATATGGTGCGAAACACCTGCCTCCTGAGGGTAGATATGGGCGAATCTCTCTCTCTCTCTCTGTGTGTGTGGGTTTGTATGTGTGTGTGTGTCTTTGGGTGGGTGTCAGGCGCCCCGATCTTGCGAGAGTTCAATCGCTCGCTGGACGAGGGAATCACCAAGGGCCTCTCAGACATGCGCAGCACCATCAAAGAGAAGCTCGCGTCAGGTTCTGAGGACCTCGAGCGCCTCACGCAGCGGCTCAACAGCTTCGACTACAACGCCACGGCCCTCTCTGCCGTCACTGAGGACGTCGTCAACAGCACACTCGTCGGGGGCCGCGCACAGGTCAATGCGGTGGAGAACGTGCGGCTGGCCGTGTTTGCCGCTGTCGCGTCTCTCGGGGTGGCGATCGGGCTGTGTGGGCTGGTGTACCTGCTTCATGTCAACTGCGCCATTTCCCGGCTGGAGAGGGGCCGGCAGTCCACGGCGTCATCCATCTTGATCAAACCGGCTGCGTGTCTGTGGTGCAGTCTGATGGCCTACGCTGTCCTGGGTGGGTGTGAGTGAGATCAGACAGATCTGTGGAGAGAGGGAGGGAGGGAGGGAGGGAGGGAGAGGCAATGGATCATTCTGCGTGTGTGCAGTGCTTGTGTTGGGAGGGCTGGTGCTGGTGCTGGGTGTGGCGACCAACGACACCTGCCGCTGGGCGCAGACCAGCGTCCTCGACGCAGAGGGCTTGACCAAGTACAACGCCCTCCTGGGGGATCTGAGCGACAAGGCCCCGGCAGTGGCGCAGCAGTGCCTCACACGCGGCGGGTCAGGGGACGTGCTGGCCGCCCTCGGTGTCAAGGGTCAGGTCGACTTCGGCCCCGAAATACGGAAGCAGATCGACCAGCTTGACCAGCTCAAGGACAACGGCACCCTCGACGTCGCACCGCTGCAGAGCCTGGTGGCCAGTGCGCGGGAGTTTGGATGGCTGTTCTTGCCCGACACCTCGGCCCCCAGCAAGGTGTGTACCCACTCGACGACCTTCCATCCATCCATCTTGCCCATATCTCATCGTGTTGTCTCCGCGTGTGTGTGTGTGTGTGCGCCCCATCAGGACGGCCATGATGTGTCTGATGTGCCCTTCGAGGTCTCGCTGAGTGGCATCCAGGACAAGGACAGGCGGATTGACGAATCCGACACACAAGCCATCATCAAGGAGGCCATCAAGGCGCAACCAGGTGACTTAGCAAGCGCACGGCCAAAGCCTCAGCACACGTGTGCGCGCAGACATTGGGGTGCCCTCCTCTCTCTCTCTTTCTCTCTTTCTCTCTCTATGTGTGTGTGTGTGTGTGTGCGTGTGTGACAGCCATGTCAGGTGTGATCGAGGACGCCATCTTCAGCAGCAACGTCACCATACTGGGGCTGGAGGAGTACCAGGCCATCATTGAGCCCTTTTTCTTCGCGGCTCTCCAGAACGGCTGGACGATGGACCGGGCCATGTACGAGATCACCTCGACGTTCGACCCTGATGTGAGCAAAGTCCTCACACACCCAGGCTGTCAGTCATCGTGTTGCCCTCTCTCTATCTACCCTTTTACGCAGGACGCCATTGTGAGCACGGAGGCGCAGCGTCGAGCACGGGAAGCGTCCAATGACACCGACACGAGGAGAGAGGTCCGCAGAACGAACATAGCCAAGTTTCTTTGCTCTCCGCACCGTACCGTCTGTCTGTTGTGTGTGTCTGGCTATCTGCAGTACATCCGGATGTACGAGAACATGGTGTGGTGGGCGGTGCGGAAGCAGCGGCTGCGTGACCCGTCATGGGTCAGCTTCGACTGCCCAACGTGGCCAGACGAGAGCCAGGGCAGCCCGTGCTCATACCAGGAGTTCACGGCCTACCTCGTCGACGACCTCGCTGCGCCCGTCTATGAGGCGGTAGGCAACTGTCAGTCAGTGGCACCAAGCCGCACCCCACCCACACGTGGGTGGATTCTCACGTGTGGTCACTCACTTCGTGGTCGTTGTGGAGTGGGCAGGGTGAGCGGTTTGTGGGTGCGGTCGACAAGGCCAAAGGCGAGCTGCACGATAAGCTCAGTGACGTGCTCGACGGTACGCGACTGACAGCGGCAGACAGCTGCGGACGCTCCTCTTCTGATGTGCAGACGCATGTGTGTGTGTGTGTGTGTGTGTGCGTATGCAGGTGTGCTGTCTCGCGTCGATGTGCTGCTTGATGGCCTGAACTGCAGTAAGACACCCAACACACACACACACACACACTGACACACACGTGTGTCTGTTGCCATATACCCCATGTGCGGTGTGTGCAGAGGTCATGTACCGCGGAGCCCAGACCGTGTCCGACCGGCTGTGCGAGAGAATAGTCCCCAACACGGTGCGTGAGGCAGACACAGGCGCACATGCCGGCCGGGCATCTGCATGAACAGGTTCCATGCATCTCCCTGCTGTGCAGGTGTTGGTGGCTCTGTCGTGGGTCGCCCTCGGCGCATTGGCATTCATCTCGGCTGCACTCTTCTTCACCGTATGTGAAACACAACCACCCACGCGACTCGTGCAGTGCACATCAGCACTCTATCGCCCCCTCCGTGTGTTGCGTGTGGTTTCTGACTGACACGTGTGTGGTGTGTGCAGCTGTGGTTGAACCTGCGGCGTGCTGCCGACTGCTGCCCCCTGCAGGAGACCGATGCAGGAGAGGAACAAAGCGTCACGAGCGAAGCGTAGACAAGGCTTGACACACTCTGCCTGCCAGGCAGACAGACAGATGCCGGCCGACTGGGGGGGTGGGTGGCTGCTGACTGATTGATCTGTGTAACTGTGTAAGTAAGTATTCGTCCCCACAGAGAGTGAATGTACTGTAGTCTGTCATCACCTGTATAGCGGTGGGGAGCAAGCAACGTGTTTTTGAACGCATGGACGCACTGGCCGGCTGCAGTCAGTGGGGGACAGACCAGACCAGACCAGGGGAGGGATGGGATGGGACGGGATGGGGGCGGGTGTGGTGTCGATACGTGCGTGCCGTGTGTGCGTCATGCATCGAGTCATTGGTTTGGTCCTTTTTTGTACAGCGGGGATGGATGGATGGATGGATGTGGTTGAGTGAATTTGTCGCTGGGTGGACGAGTGAGTTACTATCGCTGTCGCTCGCATTATTAATGATGATCGCGTTCATTTGTTAGTCAGCCGGGGCCAGAGGGGCAGACAGACAGACAGACAGACATGCAGACGTATTGACGCGCGTGCCCGCGTGTGTGTGCGTGTGTGTTTGGTTGAGCTGACGATCTTATGGCTTCCTGTCGTGGTTCTGGGCACCGAACTTACGGGCATCCGTGTGGGTGCATGTCTCGACTTGCGGACGGACTGACCGATTGACAAAAAATAGTCACTGAGTTGGTCTGAACGCCTGGCCTCATCCCATGCACCGAAGTCCATGGCCCTTTGGGCACATGGGCACCGCACCCGGCCGGACACTCACTCCTCACTCACACAAACAAGAAGCCCTGACTTAGCGAGGCATGGCTTAAGGAACTTCGACTTAATGCACAATGCACCGCACACACCACCAACAATACACAGCAGACTGTGGGAGGGAGGGAGGGAGGGGGGCACCGAAAAATGGCACAATCACAGCATGTTGGTATGTCACAATTAAGGCCTTGAATACTTCTTGGCTCGACTCGTCGCTGGTAGACTTGGCACGGAAAATTGTCCTGGAGAGGGAGACATGACGGACACAGCCATTCGCTTGCCCGGTGCGTCGCCTGTCCGTTACCTCCCGAATTTCTCCGGATGTATTGGCCTTCATCCTTCTCCCGCCGTGGTGGACGGGGCCACGGACTCCTGGATCGATGCCGCCGACGACGTGGCAGGCAGTGTGGTGGGCGGCCCCTGTGGTGTGGGGCTTTCCGGTTGACCAGTGGTAGTGGCTGCCTGTGGCTGGGGGCCTTCTGACTCGGGCTGCTCCTCGGTGGTGGCGTCGACCGACGACCCGGCCGCCGCTTCCGATGCACTGCTGGCGGATGGGCCGCCCTGCCCTTGGCCCTGGTCGTCGGCGCCGTTGCCGCCTGCGGGGTGCAGGTGCAGCGACGCTGGCATCCTGCTCAGGCCGTATCACTGAGTGAGACACACCATAGACAGCAGCACAGAGGAAGACTTCCTTGAGGGCGGCTGTAAGGGCCGACTTGGCTTACCAGCTCTGGGTAGGGTGGTCTTGATCTGAATGGCGTTGAATCTGCGTCTCATGTCGGTGGGATGGTCGGGGTCCTGACAGACAGACACAGACAGACAGAGACAGAAAGCGGCATCCTTGCCACACCTGTCCGTCAGGTGTGGCTCACTCACTGACCGGTTGGATTGGGTACACCGGATGAAGGCGGGGTCTATCTCCTCCATGAACGAAGAATTTGAAATCATACTCGGCGATGCGACGAGGCACCGCATGCACGAAGCACCTGCATGAACGACAGACAGACAGACAGACAGACAGAGTGCACTGTCTATGTGTTTGCTCTCTGTGTTGTGGTTGCCTACTTTCGGCTGCGGCACCATTTCATCCTCACTGGGTCTTGCCACGGCGTGGCGGACCGTCTTGCGTCAACCTCCTCCGGTGTGTCTCTTCCCCCATATTTTGGTCCCCCATCATTTTCAACGATCCTCACGCTGATGTCGACGGTCTTCCCGTCCTGGTCCCACACAAACACGACCTTGTCCTTCTCTTTCTTCCCTAGCTCCCGAGCAATACGCGCCCGCCACAATCGCTGGATGTCGGTGGCCCCAATGTCGCGAGACTTCATGATCCCTATAATCTGCCACCATCGGTCCACGGCAGCCACAAACAGGTGAGGCGGTGCCATCGACGTCTGTGTGTGTGTGTGTCGGGTGCTGGCTGACTGACCATGATTTCTTTTTCCAGCCATCTCATGGTCAGGACGCGACGCCGGCAGGCTTGGATGTGTGTCTGCGGGTGGGAAAAGGTCAACAAGGGTTCCTTCATGTGTGTGTGGACGAGCCAGGCCCAGCCGCCACCCGCTCACCGCCTTGTCGTATCTCCGTTTCTGGATATTCTTGAGCTCCCTTTCGGATTTCGCCACTTATCGCCCTTTGAAACCTTCATTTCACAGACAGACAGACAGACGTGGCGGTGCGGTCTCGGCTGTCTGTCTGACTGACCTCTGTAGAGGCTCTGTATCTTGAGTGCCTTTGGCGTCACGGCAGCCTCATAGGCGAGACGGGCTTTCCGGTAGCGGCGGACGCTGCGGCTGAACAAGCCCCTGGCGCAACGCTGAATTGTGACCTGCACGGACCACCCAACAAACACAGCAAACACACGGCCGCCCCCTTGACGTGTGTGAAGAGCCACTCGTCCCGTCCCGTCTCCCTCCACTACTCACCGCAGCTAAGTCCATCACCACCGCCCTCATGAGGCGGGATTTGCGGCCAACACGCGGCCCCGTGGTGGCTGACGCGGCTGCTGCTGCTGCTGTGGTTGTGGTTGTGGTAGTGGCGGTTGTTGATGCCGTGCGCTCTGAGCCTGGGGATCGGCCGTCGGAAGGGTCGGAGTGGCCGACATGCTCCTGGTCGGAGTGGCCGACCTGGTCACTGTCAAGGGGATGGGCCAGCCCCCGTAGGGAGCCCCTGCATGAGGAAGCACCGACAGATGGGCGGAGACACAGACCAAGGGAGACAGAGGCAGATGGATTGATGGGTACTTCGGTGGCCGCCTCTTTCTGTCAGACCTGACGAAGTGTTTCAGGCAGTCCACAAACGCCGGAATGTCCTCCGGCGGAACCTGCAGCCGAAAGGCCTGCGAGACACAACACACACACATGCAGTATGTCGGTGCGGTCGGGTATGGCGCGTCATGGACCCCCCTCCCAAGGAAGGGCTGCTCAGCTCACGGTGGTGGCCGTCGCAGTGCTGCCTACTTCCACCCTGACACCATCACAAGGGCACAAGGAAACAACGAAATGCCTCACGCACTCTCCCACCGCCCAGGCATACCACCCCCTCTTCCCTCCCTCCAAGCCCAAAAATCAGTTTGTACGCCCCTCCCCCCTCTCTGCCCCACTCGTCCCTCTGCCTGTTGTGTGTGTGGCCACCCACTTGATGTAGGAGGAGCCAAAACGCGCCGACTCCTGCAGCCGCTCCGGGCTGTCCTCAACTTCGACCCCACTCATTGACTCACTCAGAGTGGGGAGGTACTGATTGCTTGAAGGCGTAGAAACAACTTGAAGGCAGCGAACAATAGAATCTCGAGCTTGCGAGCTGGAGGGGGCGAGGTGGGGGCTCCCGTCTCGAGCCTGAGGTCCCTTCGCAGAAAGAGGTCACATGGAGGCAGACGGATGAGCTGCGGGACGCCTGGGGCTTCGACGGCTTCGTTGTGAGCGACTGTGACGCCATCAATGACATGAATGGCAGTCACCGCTTTGTCAATGCGGTCTCTATGAAGGCTGATGAGTGGTGGGAAGGGCAAGGGGGAGAGGGTGACAGTGAGTGGATGTGTGTGTGTGTCTCCATGCATCTACAGGCTGAGCGCCGCGTTGGGCACTGGATGGGCGACACTGCATGCCGGCACGCCATTGCAGCCCTGCCGTCGCCGAGCAACCAAGTGGCATTATTGATTCATTCTACCTTGTTATGTATAGCTATAGACCGACCCGAGTTGAAGCTTGGTGTTTGTGTGACATCTCAGCACACAGAGGCAACGGGCCGCCACACGCACAAACAACTGTCTGTAAGTGAGGCGCATCGTCCTCGGAAAAACCCTACTCACTGCCACTAAGAACTCGGGCTGTGCCATTGGTCAGTCTGTCTGTCGGGCTATCGGCCACCCGTCCGTTGGCTACTCATCATGACACAGTCGATTGGTATACACATGACGTCATACGGATGAAGGAGAGGAAGAGATATACATATATACAGGTCAATGCACGTGTGGACGTGCTCGTACTGGACGGATGTGATGAGAGAGAGGAGACATCCATCCAGCCACTCGCCCACCCAACACACACACTCAAACAGACAGACATAGACAGACAGACAGACAGACAGACCCATGGCAGCCAGCAGAGAAGGGGTAAAGCAGTGAGCAGCGAAGAGAATGGTCACCACGACCCACACAGACCACCCATGGACTCCGTGTGCATCGAACAGCCAGGCAGCCAAGCAGCCAGGCAGCCAGTCAGGCAGGCAGGCAGGCAGATACCACCGCCACCGTCCAAACCCGACAGACACAGAGAACACGGCCAGGGACATTGTGGTAAAGCCATTGCTCTCTCCCCTCTCCCTCTCAATGTGCACTCACTGGCGAAGCCAAATGAACACACTTCATCCATTCATCTGCACAAGCAGCTCATGGCCATCCATCCATGACTCCACGTGCCATCGCAGTCCACGGACACCACAAACGCAAAACAGAATGGCAGTCAGCCAGCCACTGTTTGTCTGGAGAATGAGTAGCGAATTGATAGGCAGACTCGCCGTGTGAGCCATTGAGATGTCTATGCAGTGCGGCCACCAGCAGTTCCTCCGCTATCACCTTACCTGACACACACGTCGACAGCCACAAGTCGGAGGGACAGACAGACAGACAGACAGACACCATTGCGTACGTCTTGTCGGCACCGCCCGCTTGTGTCGGGAGTGGTTGATGCATACCTCGGCAGGAATGTCGGTTGACCTGCCGGTGTCTTGTCGAAGAGCTCCGCTGCGATGACTGGCCCCAGCACCAAACGCGCCAGCTGAGCGGTCTCTCGGAAGCGGTTCTGAAAGGTCCAGATCGGACCAATCAACGGATCCCGATCCGGCTCGGTCGTCTCAGCTAAAACCTGCACTGCAGACGAATGACAGGACGGCACAGCAGATGAGTGTAAGTATTGCACCCTCTCTTGGTGAGCTGCGCTGTGCTGCGCTGACCGTAGGTGCCGATCCGTGATATCCGAAGCCAGGCGACGAATGGGTGGCTGGCGTCTGTCAGGACGAGACGACGCTCAAATATGCCGGTGGTAGGGCTGCAGAATGATGCGGTTGTACTGCAGCCCTCGACTGGTGTGTGGGGGGACTGCGACAGGATGGTGTTCAACAGCTGGTTCTCGTCCACACCCCTGCATGACCGATGAACAACACACCGATGTACTCACTCGGTTGTCGCAACGATGCCCACCCAGAGGGATGCCCGCCTTACCTTCCCAGCAGATGGAAAGTGAGAGTCGTCAAAGCCGATTGGGTCGACTTGAAATAGTCGAGGATCTTGTTCTTGACCAGCGACGACGCAGACGAGTAGTCACGAGGAAGATGCGACCGCCAGCCATGAGCGCCGTACACGATTGGGCTCCGGGTGGGTGGGTCGTGGTCCTGCCGATGCTGCTCGTAGAGGTGGTCGGGAGGGAGGGTCGGTTTGGTCGTCAGCTCGAAGCCATCCTGGTCCCGGATGGCCCGCACTGTGTGGCCGCGGTGGAACAACTGGAAGCTGATGTCGTTGCCGAAGTTGATGTGGCGGCCGACCACCGTGAGCTGAGCCAACACACGCGGGAGGGCCAAATACACCTGCACACACAACACACGACCACGGCACACACACGGGGATTGCCATTCATTCCTCCCTCCCTCCCTGGTCGGCTTACGCCTTTGTTTGGGAATTGGTGCAGGTCGGCCGAAGTGATCCTCACAGGCAGCTGGCAGATGCCACACTGCGCCGCCAGCGCAATCACCTCGCCCGTCTCCTCCCGCACGGCCGCCTCGGCCTCCGCCTCCGTCACACACACGGCGGCCAGCAGGCCACCCTCATCTATCTGGTCGTCGAATGTCAGCAGCTCCACCACATTCCCATTGACCGTCCGTCGCGGCAAGGGCTTTGTGCTGAGTGTGTGTCTGAGCCGCAGCCGCAGCTCATCCACGCCGAAGAAGTCCCTCACCCAGCGGCAGGTTGCTCTGAGCTGCAGTATGTCCTCGGCCTGCAGCAGGAATGCGCTGCGCCGGCTGGCCGGGGAGGCTGCGGGCGGGACGCAAAGGTACCACAGGGAATGCCACAGCTGCTGCTGCTCCTGAGCAAGGCGTCAACGCAGCCACAAACAGAAGAGGGGGTGCCATCGACGTCTGTGTGTGTCGTGTGCTGGCTGACCGACCCGGAAACGTTTCAGCCATCTCATGGCTAGGTAGCGACGGCAGCAGGATTGGATGTGTGTCTACGGGTGGGAAAAGGTCAACAAGGGGGTTGCTTCATGTGTGTGTGGACGAGCCAGGCCCAGCCGCTACCCGCTCACCGCCTTGTCGCATCTCCGTTTCTGTATGTCCTTGAGCTCCCTTTCGGATTTTGCCACTTGTCGCCCTTTGTAACCTTCATTTCACAGACAGACAGACAGACACAGACGTGGCGGTGCGGTCTCGGCTGTCTGTCTGACTGACCTCTGTAGAAGCTCTGTATCTTGAGTGCCTTTGGCGTCACGGCAGCCTCATAGGCGAGAAGGTCCTTCCGGTAGCGCTTTATTCTGCGGCTGAACAAGCCCCTGGCGCAACGCTGAATTGTGACCTGCACGGACCACCCAACAAACAAACACAGCAAACACACGGCCGCCCCCTTGACGTGTGTGAAGAGCCACTCGTCACGCCCCATCTCCCTCCACTGCTCACCGCAGCCAGGTCCCTGTCCATCACCGCCGTCATGCAGATCTGCCGAGAGCGGCAGATGGGCGAGATAGGAGGCGGCGGATGGCCTGACCGGAGAAGACGCGCTGTTGCTTGGTGTTGCTCGTCTGCTTGACAGGTGCGATGACCACCTGACACCTCAGGGGGTCGAGTCTGAGCTCGCATGGCAGAAGGGGAGAAAAGAGATGAGCAAAGGCGGCAGCCCTCTCCAGGCAAGCCAAAGCACACAATAAAAAGCACAATATGTCGTTCTCTCACGACGCCTCATGCCTTATCGGTGTGCAGGACCGTGGCCGCCTCTCTTCGTTTGCTCGGTCGTCGAACAGCAACTCGGGCGAGGCCGACAACGATGACGCCAAGTCCCTCTCGACCGAATCAATGCCTTCACTTGGTGAGCGATTCATCATCCCATGCATGTGCCATGATGATCACGCCCTCGTGCCATGTGTCCATGAGTAGTGGAGGACAACGAGCCCATCATGAGCCCGGCGTCCCTGTTTTGTTGGCGACGAGACGAGCCCAATCCGCAGGACGATCAGTCATCGCCTGAAGTCGACTCTCTCGGCTTCCACTACACCTTCCCCTCACTCATCAGCCGTGAGCCACGCGCAACACAACACCTGTACACGCATGGCGGCAGGGGACGTCATGTCTGTCTGTCTGTCTGTCTGTCTGTCTGTGTGTCTGGTGTCAGTGATGCACACGAGCTACTATGGCGGTCTCGCGTCGAGTGCGTCGGGTGCTGGGCCTGCTGCTGCACCTCCTGCCGCCGCTGCAGCTGCAGCTGCAGCTAATCCTGGTGTGGCGAGTGGCTCTGATGGCGAGGACAACAAGTCCGACTCGGACGACGATGTGTGAGTTGAGAGAGGAGGAGGGAGGGAGGGAGGGAGGGAGGGAGGAGTGGGGCAATGGTGTGGCGTTTGTCTGCGTGTATGGATGCAGCCCTGAGTTGGAGACCATCACTGACGAGTTGGATAACGAGGAGTGGGCACCGCAGCAGCCGGGTGACGATAGTGACGATAGCGGAGAGGACGACCACGGTCACGACGATGACCATGACGACCGCCAGGACGGTACGCCCAAACACAGAGAAGGAGTCAGTCGATGGTGGCTGAATGCATGCCTCTGTGTGTCTGCGTCTCTCGTCTCAGCTGACGATGGCTCCTCTGATATCGAGAAGTCGACAGTCGAAGAGGTGTCCACCGGTCAGCGTGAGAGCTCCCTTGGCGGTCAACTTAGTGGCGTCAGTGGCGGGAGCGTTGGCAGTGTGGATGTGGTGGGCGGGCAGTCGCCGGGGTCCAGCGGTGCTGGTGTTAGTGTTGGTGGTGTTGGTGAGAAGTCTTTGGCCATTGTGCCGAGCCGCGCGTCGGCCGCTCGCGACACCCCTGCCTGGGCCCCGTGCCCGACATACACGAGTCAGTTCCCCAGCCTGCCGTCGGTTCTGTCGAGGTCCGCATGCACACGGGCAGAACGATGCACGCGCTCACATGAGGACTGTTGTGTCTGTTTGTATGTGTCAGTTTCAACAATCGTCCTCGCGTGTTGGGTCCCTCCATAGACGGAAGGCGTGGCCTGGGCAGACGTAAGAGGCACAAAGGCCAAGGGAGGGAGGGAGGGAGGGAGGGAAGCCGACAACGCCCCTGATGCGGGAGGCCACTCGGCTGCTGTGTGTGGTGTGGCGTGATCGGTCAGGCTTCCCTTTGAGCATCACTGACGGCGGTGGTCCGTCCCTTCCCACCCCTAGCAGGCCGTCTGCCATCGCACCTGCACCTAGCCGTAGACCCGTAAGCAGCAGCCACACATACACGCATGGCAGACCACAACACGCCCTCCTGCATGCCCCTGTCACCATCAGGTTGTGACACCGAGTCCGCGTATCGAGGATGTCGAGGATGAGCAGGATTCAGACGACGACATGCCGTCGTTGGTGTCGGACGACGAGCCCATCACGGCCTACACCGCACCGAGGTACTCCAGGTACTACAGCCACGCCAATCCGCAGGAGGGAACCGACCGGCTGATGGGCCTTCCCGTACACGTGAGTACAATAAATAGTAGACCACACACTGACTCTGCTATCCCATTCGTTCGTTCGTTCGTTCGTCCTTGTGTGTGTGTGTGTGGATGGGTCCAATGCAGGTGTTCTTCTTCCCGCCGTGGGCCGAGCTCTAAACAGAACGATAGATAGTCGACAGACGGACCGGCAGACGCGTGGTGCTTCCCTGTGTGTGTTGGGGGGGGGGGGGGGGGG